CGCGGTCTCGCTTCGGTGCCGCTTCTCCAGGGCCTGCGGTAGCTTGTGCCTGGTCTTGCCTTCTGTTTTTTTGGAGAGCGTGGAGGAGATCTTTGGGGGCCGTCTTTCAGCGGTGGTTTAAGCACTCAGGGCCCTTGCTCACGCCGGTATGGTGAGAGGGATAATGTTGTTTCCTTGAGCAGGGACTGGCATCGCGCAGAGAAAGCAGGGAATGAACGGCTCATTTCTACTTACACAGTGCCTAAATGACGGAGATGCGAATATGCTTGTCACTTCTTTGCCTGGTGTCACGTTCCTAGTCTTGATCTTGTTACTGAGTCTTCTTGGTGTATATTTGTATTTTTTTCTTTGGACTAGATCATCTGGTAGCAAAACAGGACAAGTTTGGGCCCCTGAAGGATCAACAGCTTTCAAGTGTCTCATCTCAGCCAGGTTCTGTGCAGCTCTCTTAAGCAACATCTCTGATTGTGATGAGACGTTTAACTATTGGGAACCGGTAAGAGGCTTTTTCTCCTTGGAGATACTTAAGAATTCATAACTGACCTATGCAGATTCAAATTTATCTAGAACCTTGTGCTAATCTCTGTGTTTCAAAGAGAAATTTTCTTACTCAGGAATTCAGAGATGGGAGATGCAGTACTCTCTACTCTCTGTGATGTTTATTATTTCTTTATTTTATCTCCATTGTAGACACACTACCTCATTTATGGAAAGGGGTTTCAGACATGGGAATACTCTCCAGCCTATGCCATCCGCTCCTATGCTTACCTGTGGCTTCATGCCTTACCAGCCTTGTTCCACGCTAGAGTTCTGCAAACAAACAAGGTAAATCAGATGTGTGGAAGCTACTTTGTGATGAATAACCATGCCTTTAGTCTGTGCTAAACAGCTGATATGTTTGTTGTCAGAGCTAAGAGAACTAGTGTTTAGAAAATACTAACTTGTTTACAAACACTAACCTCCCTGTAAGGCTTTGCCAGGGTTTGTGAGCTGACTCAAGGAGATCCAAGAAAAGGTGATTGGGAAGTTGCAGGGAAATGCTGTTGGGTTCTGGTTTGATTGAGAAGCTGTCCCAGAGGGGCTCGGAGCTCCTTGGCCTTTTGAATGTGTGCAGGCCTGAGGACAGTTACCAGGTGGCCGTGGGCTCTCATTCACCCCTGTGAGTTTCACCCTGATGCATTAGAAGCCCATATTGTTTTCTGTGCCAGCTCTCAATGACTGTTTTGCTATATTTTTCCAATAAACTATAAAAAATAAATAAGTATTTTGCAAGGGATAGAAATGTAAAAGAAAAAACACTGAATGTGCATTGTTCTTGGGTATCCATTGCCATGCTTGGCATGTTTCTACACAACAGAAAACAAAAGAGAGGTAGTTCTGTTAAGTTCAGTGGAATGCATTCACTTTCTGTGTTGTAAAGGACTTCAGTGTTAGAGGACTAGGCCTTGAGCTGCTGGGATTATCAGCATCCTTTTGGTATGGGATCTGGACCTACAAGAATAGGCTCATTCACCACTGCCAAACTTGCTCCATTCTGATCAGAACTTTTGTTCTTGGTACCGACTCGTTACTAATAGGTGCATAAGCTTCATTGCAAACCTTGTTCAGGCTCTTGAGTATGTCTCCTAGGTCCTTGTCTTCTACTTCCTCCGATGCTTCCTGGCCTTCCTGAGCTGCGTTTGTGAACTCTACTTCTACAAGTGAGTATTAGAAGCTGTCTACAGTGAATGCTGTGTTTCTTTATCATAGTGAATTTCAGTGGAATACATTGATTGTTGCTGCCTGTAATGTACCTGCCAATGGTGTTACATCCACTAAAACGAGTAGCCTGAACATATAATTATCTTGTCTAAGCTGGATTTTTATTTTTACCTGCTGCCTCTTAATTTTTGGCTTTCAAACTGTTACCTTGCGTGACTTTTCTGTTGGCAATAGTCTAGTTTTAAGAATGTGAGCTGTGGCTTTTTGCATGATGGGATTTTGTGAGGGGTGAAAGTCTTAGATTGATGTTGCTATGGCAGTGCAGACTCTCTCAGTTCCTGAGATCTGCATGAGCAGCAGACAGCAGTCAGCAACTGACACTGGTAGAAGCAAAGTCCCTTCTAGAGTTTTGCACTGGTGTAACTTAGGAGGATCTGATATCCCAGGCCAGAGGCAGCCATACTGCTCTTCAGATTGCCTTCAGTGGCTGAGTGATGAGAATCACTCACCTTAAAGCTCTCGAGATGCTCCATGGATTGTTTGTGGTTCTGCATATGTTGGGTACCGTTCTTTTATATACTGAGGATGTGTTTTGTGGTCTCTAATTCTCTCTTGCTTCCTCAGGGCTGTGTGCAAGAAGTTTGGGCTACATGTGAGCCGGCTGATGTTGGCCTTCTTAGTACTCAGCACTGGGATGTTTTGCTCATCTGCAGGTAAGTTGGCTTAGCAATGGCACTAAGAACTGCTTTGTCCATAGAAAGCAAAGACAGATCCAGAGAGAAGAAAATCCAAAGCACTGAGATATCTCTCTAGCAATTGTTTGTTTTATTCTATTGCAGGTATTTCTCATGGCAGGTGTGATGACAAAGTTGATTCAAATTATGTTCCCTGCATCTCTCTCTTGTATCTTTCCATTTCCAGGACATATTTGTTTCTATTGCTGCCCCCACTCTCTCTGCAATGGGCCATGCCTTTTAAACAGGGTCTTGGCCTACCTTCCTTGAACATATTTTAATCCAAGGAAGGAGGGTCATATTTCAGCATTGTCATTTGCCTTTGTGTCCTGTCCCCTCTGGCTGATAGTACTAATTTCCCTAGCCAACCACTGTAAGACTTAGAAAACACCTGCTGCAGATATTCAGTAAAGTGCAAGGAGAGTCTTTGAGCAAAGTTTTTCTGTATTGTGTACATACAGAAACTTAAAGGGAAATACCACAACTTAAGAATGCTGACATTTCCTATTTTACCCTTTTTTAGTTATGGTGAGTGGAGAAATGACCTTCATTGATTTTTGCAGTTTCATAGGTCTTCTCGTTCTTCGCTTACTCCCCACTAATCTCTGCCCAGTTGTTTCAGAGACTGTTCCCAGTCAGCTCACATTTTCTGCTGCTGCTTGAGCAGATTCATTTCACTTTTTTGTACCTAGCAGCAAGTGTTACAAGTGGTAACTGCGGATGCTGTCAACTGGTTACCACTGCTGAGTGCCACCGAGGAAAGAGGCCTTCATACTTAAAGGAAGTATTTCTGGTCTTGGCAGAATAAGAAAAAGAATCCTCTTTTTTTGTTTGTTTGTTTTGCTTTCACAGAAATGAGAGTGTCCAGTATAGCATCCCAGATCCAATGGAATGAATGAGAGATGTTAGCCTTATCTTGGTCTCATGCATTTCTCTCACTGTGAGAAAGCCCTGCTAACTGCTTTCTTTCCTTGTATTGCAGCTTTCCTCCCAAGCAGTTTCTGCATGTATACCACAGTGGTTGCCATGACTGGGTGGTACATGGACAAGACCTCTGTAGCAGTGCTGGGCGTGGCCGCTGGAGCCCTTCTGGGCTGGCCCTTCAGTGCAGCTCTTGGGTAAGAAGAGGAGGACTCAGGAGTTTGGTGCTTTGTGAAGTGTTTCTTGCCTAGTTGGGGAGAATGTAGGGGCTGGAGAGCTGGAGAAAAAAACTGAGCTGCCAGCCTAGTCCAGGATCATTGACACAGGCTTCCATAGCCTGATTTCTTTGCTTTTGAAGAACTTAAGTTGGGAAGATTTCCTGACCCTAACGTACTGAGAGTAAGACGTGAGTTGGATGACTGGAGTACAGAGTGGAGGCAGAGCGCAGTGAAGTGATGGTTATCTTCCAATACTGCCCCACTTGCTTTGAAGGGGCAGGAAAACCAATAGTGGGGAAAGGCAAAGTCTCCAGCTGATACCTGGTCTCTCTTTCAGGCTTCCTATTGCTTTTGACTTGTTGATACTGAAGCAGAGGTGGAAAAGTTTCCTAAACTGGTGTGTCGTGTCATTGATCCTGTTTTTGGTAAGTGCCTGTAACAATGCAAAGAGGGAATGGATTTGGCTTGCAATAGAAGGGGTGGGTTCCACCAAGAAAATCATGTGAAACTTTTGGGCAGTCCAGCCAAAAGCTTCTGACACTTTAAATAATAGATACTTTCTTCCAGGTGCCCTTGGTAGTCGTGGACAGCTATTATTATGGGAAGCTGGTAGTTGCACCTCTCAACATTGTTTTATACAATGTCTTCACCTCTCACGGACCTGATCTCTATGGTGAGTTTAAGATAACAAGTCAGGAAGGGAGTCGGCGATTTTCTTGCTACTGTCTTGCTACCATGACCCACCAGGTCTTGATTGCCAATCCTTTTTCTGACGAACTCTAAAGCAGCAGCAGCTCGCCAGCTCCAAAGGGCTGCAGTTCCTGCTTTTTGCCACAGGATGTCTCTCTCGAGGTGGAATCTGCTGCCGTTGTCGGATTTGTCCACACTCTTGCGTTAAAGCTGCTTTTGTTTAAAGTTCTGTAACCCGTCGTTAGATGTCTCAGCTTCACAGCAGAAGACTGCTAGTAGCAAACGTGTCTGGATGCTATGCGAGTGCAGTAGACATAAGTGATATTTGTGTGTCTTTGTCAGCTTTAATCAAGTTCTTGGCTGTTGTTCCTCACAGTCAGGGTGTAAAACCTTCGGAATGTGAGTAACAGTGCAGAATCCATAGTTCTTTCAGTTCACATTGTGTCTCTGCAGGCTTCCTGAGTCCATGCTGTGCATTGGGAATCTCCTTGCTTATTGGCAGCGTATGGCCTGGGCTTTGCTGGCAAGCAGAACCTGAGGTTACCATGAAGGCATCTAATCTGCAGGCAAATCATCTGCCTAAGAGGAGTTCTCTCGTACTGGCTATGTAGGATATTGTGTGACCCAAATCTCAGGTCTGAACCTTGATGGCATTGCTGTGTTGTTTGTTTTTGATCTGCCACTGCACTAAGTTCTTCGTATCATGTACTTCTAGAGCTGAACAGTAGAAGAGTGTTACACTTCTAGCAGGGTGTCAGAGGGGCTCGCGGAGACTTCAGGGAGCTCAGATGCAAGGTCCCTGCGTCACCTCTGTCATCTGTTTAAGCCCCATTAAGATATTCTATGAGGGATTCAGCAGTGGTTAGCAGCAAGGCTTTCTCTGGCAGGGCCTTGCAGGCCATATTTGTTGGTTCATTTGAAGGACTGTTTTAGGTGGTGCCGAGTGGTGATTTATTACTTGTGCTGTGGCGGAGCAGGGCAACAGCTGCTTTGCCACGATTCTTCATCTCTGCAGGAAGGCTCTGAAGTCTGTCGCTGTGAATTTTCTGTAAGGAAACTCCATGCTCTGTCTCTGATAGGTTTTGGCATGGGCTCGTGCCTGACCTTTTCCACACTGGTGCATGAGTTGTTTCCAGAAGCCTCCAGGGACCAATCTGTTCTGAAGTGTTTTATTCATAGTGACATTCATATAACATCCTCAGGCTAGTAAACGAGCCTGCTTGAAATTGCTTTTTAATGCAATGTGGCCAGGACAAGGCCTTGTTTAGAGAGCTTCAAAACACTTGGGAAAAATAACACTACCAGGGCAGATGAAAGGCTGGCCAATCCCTTTTGGCTTTGGAGCTGGGATTTTCCAGCTTTTACATGATGGGAGCAGGAACTGCTGGAGGTTGCAGAGTCATCAACCCATATCATTTTCAATGTAAGCATCACAATATTTTTCCTTTTGCCTGCAGACTAGAGTTCTGGAGACAACATTAGATTTTTGTGTGTGTGTGTGTCCTTAGCAACACACTCCTTCTGGATAAATACAGTCTGTGCAATAAATATTTCCCTGGGGTCATTAGGTTTCTATGGCCAAGGGAAAATAGTGAATATCATTAAGCCTGATTGTGAGGCTTTGGGATGTTTTTGTGTACATATGTTCTAAGAACGCGCAATTTGTGACAAAAGTTTTGTTCCCTTTTCTGTGATCAGAGCCTTGGCTGTGACTTGCAATACGATGGCACTTTGGGAAGCTTTATTCAGCTTGGGTGGGGTGTGCTGGAGCTGTTAGTATGACACCTTGCTCTGTTGAATCCTGGTTCTTAAATAGGGTGAAAATAAATGAAATGCAGAAAGAAGACAGTTTATTGTACTAGCACTGAATCAGCTTGCTTCGAATGAGAGCTGTGACTAATGATCAAATTATTGCAGCTTAGTTACTGCTTAACATCTGAGCTACAGTTCCTGTCAGCATTCAGGCTTTTAGGCTGTGACAAACATAGGGTGGGGTGCCTTAGTTTAAGCTTATTTTACACCTCCTCTGCTTTGTCCTGAGCTGCCTTCACCGTTGCTGTGGTCGAGCTGCCGCATGGTAGCTTGTTAAGTTCTGTTAACTTGTATGTGAGTTTGATTTCTAGAATTGCTCCCAGAGTCTGTCACAGAGCACAAAGTTCAAACCAGTTTCTGTCTCAGGGTCTGACAGTGCTTCCAGTTTGTTATCCCCATGGAACCATAGTGCCATGAACTGACCTGGCCACAGTGTTCTTCCCACTGCTTTCATCAGTCTTTCTCCTATAGCCCACATCTGCTCGAGCGTGTGGGATACTTGCAGGAAGTTAAATCTGTCTGGTCTGAAGGCAATGCTTGGGAAGCATGTTCCCATCAGTACTGTGCATGGAGAGCTCTTTAGTGTCTTACCCTGCTTGAAAGACGTTCTGGGGCAGGACTTCTTGTATGCAATGGAGTTGTTCTTTTTTTATATTGCAGTTCTTTCTCAGATCGCCTTGAGTCATTGTGGATAACAAGAATAAAAGCATTTTGCCCTGGGAGGTATTGAGGCTTGTTGTGGTTTAGCCCCAGCTGGTAGCTAAAGTACCATGCAGCTGCTTGCTTACTCCTTCCCTCCTCCGAGGAATGGGGAGAAGAATCGGAAGAAAAACGTAAAACTTGTGGGTTGGATTAAGGACAGTTTAATAGAGCAGCACAAGGAGAGAAGAAATAATAACAGTAATACTAATGAAAGAACGTACAAAGCAAGTGATGCATAATGCAATTGCTCAAGAACCAATGCCCAGCCTGCTCCCAAGTTGCGATCCCCCTTCCCCAGTGAGCTCCCCTAGTTTTTATATTGAGAATGAGGTCATACGGTATCGAATATCCCCTTGGCTAGTTTGGGTCAACTGTCCTTGCTGTGTCCCCTCCCAGCTTCTTGTGAAAATTTACTCTGTCCCAGCCAAACCCAGGACAAGACTGAATGCCCCTGAATGGCTGAGTTATCACAGTGACCAAGCCTATTGCTTTTTGCCTGGTGTCTATGAATTATTTAACTTGCCTGTGTAATGCACTGTTCTCCTCTCATATTTTTTTTTCCTTTTTTTTTACCTTTACCCAGAGAAGAAAATCCCTCATTGGAGAACGGGAGGTTCTAGTGCTTAGTTCTTAAGGGGAATTCAGTCATACTGCAAAAAAAATCTGAGAAAGTAGCCTTTTTGTTAAAGTTGTGCTTCAGACTCTTTATTAGCAGAGTCTCTCAGGTCACCTCTGGGCCTTTAAGGCTGTATCTGGATTGTGAAGGAGGTGTGCTTCATGAAGTGTCCTTCATTCCTGAGTCCCAGGCTACCAAATCAGAGACCAGACTAGTGAGAGCCGTAGTTAATTTCTTTTACTTTCCATAGCAGCCAGGGCAGGTAGAAGGGTGACAGTATGGACCCTGGTACTATCCTTTAAAGATTTGGGACTTGGCTGTGCAGCTTAATTGTAGCCAGAAAACACTGGAAGGTAACAGTTTATATAAGTTTAAGCAGCTTTCTGTCTCATCCTGGCGTCTTCTATGAGAAAGTGTCTGCTGTTTATAGCAGTGGGAATGGGGAAGCAGGGTATGTAACCCAGTTCCAGTCTTTTTTTTATATAAGGAGAGGCCTTGGTGCTCCACAGAAGTAGTTACTAGAGTCACCTAACTAGTGCTAACCCTGCTGTAAGTCTTTAGAAACCTGTACTGTTGCCTCAGAAGAGAGTCTGGAGGTGGCAAGACTGGGAAGAAACCAAAGCCCCTTTTACACACACTTTTTCTAGATGTCCACTGGAAGATTTACAGTGCGATACCCCAGACTGCCTCAGGTTTTCCCTCCCAGACGTATCTCAATCAGCAGCCCTGATTTCTGGGAAGAGTAGTATGCTTCAATCCTAAAATTATCTGCTTTCTGCATGTGTTCAAGATATGTCACAGTGATCATTTAGAATTGCAGTCCTTAAATATGGACAGTCACCACAGGGCCTAGAGAAGGAGGAAGGGACGTTGGCACTATAGCAATGTTGCCATGCACATAACTCTGTCATGTCCATCACTTGACATGATCTTTTAATCGGCTGTATCTTGTATTCAGCCTTTCACAGGCTGAGGATTGTGCATATGTGAGACTTGCAAGAATTATGAGGCAGGTGGAGGGGGAGAAAGGATGAATTTCTAATAATTCACTCTCTTAAGACCCACTGCTTCCCAAATCCAAATCTGTAATTGCTGTTTGCTTTCAGTACTAATAGCTAAAGGTTTCCTAAATGAACCTCAGTTGCTTGGACTTGGCCTTAGTAACTCCGACGATATGTAACATTACTAGTGCAGCTTCTACTCATATTTAGCTGTAGGAGCTGCAGAGGTTTCAGGTTTTTCTTGCTGCTTTTCAGTTGTCTGATTAATTTCAACATGGACCCTGTTTAAGTGGCTCTGATTGCAGGAAATTGCTGCAGCATGTGACACGTGTCACAACAGTGCAGTAATTAAAGCCCCCGCGTGTCATTTACTGACTGATTGAGCTAATCACACTGAGACAGTGGCAAATGTGTGGAGAGGAACTGGCATTCCTTATTGTTCAGGATTTTAAGCATCCTGAATGAAGAGCCCAAATAAATGACAATTGGATTGGAATTTGTTTCAATTTACATCCTTCTAAGCTTGCAGCCAATAACCAAGTATGTCATGTTAGGAGGCAGAGTTGGCTTGCTCCTGTTTGAAGCTGCACTGTAAGAACAAATTGAAGTAGGGACATTTTAAATAGTGTTGACTCTAAGGAAGTATCAAAACTAGCATCTGGATGAACTTCAATAGCAGTCTTTGTTGGGGTGAAGTGTGAATCTGAACTCTTTCTTTTTCCTTTTTAGTATGTTTTCTATTTCTGCCAACATGGAATATACATCATCTCTCCAGAATTATAATGATCTCTTATTAACATTGTGTGTTTTTGTATAATTCCGCTGTTATTTCTCTGCAATTAGAAAGAATGAATTTGGAGTCAAATTTCCTAGTTTTACAAGTTTTCACCTCTACTTCCTTGCTGTGTAGGCTTTCTTAATGCAAGGGTGAGTTCTGTGTCACAGAACTTCTGCTGGGGAAGGCTGACTGTTAGTGGCCTGTGATTCATGAGCAACAGATGTGATATTGACTATGACCCAGTGAAAAAGGAAGGAGAAAAATAATTTCTGAAAAGGAAGACAATGAAGTTTGTTGGGCAGACATGATTGTGAGATACTCTGGTGCCTTTGTATGGCTATTGACTAACTCTCATGCCACTGTTACGGCAGTTTTATGAGTGAGGGGCAGAACCATGAGACTGCTTTGAGATGGCTCAGGCTCATTCCATGGGTCTGCATCCTCTGTCCACCTGCAAGATCTTCTGTCCACACCCTTTCCATTCTTTGGTTCCAGTATGCCTGCAATGGATAGAATTGATGTCTGCTGCTGATTATCTCAGTCTGTGTCAGGCAGAGATGGAACGAAACTGCTGTTATTTCTAGATCTCATACATGCTTGTGTTTAAAAACTTGTGTTTCCTTTTCTCGTCCTTTAGGTACAGAACCCTGGTTCTTCTATTTCATCAACGGCTTTCTGAATTTCAACGTGGCATTTATTTTGGCACTGCTTGTGCTACCACTGACTTGTCTCATGGAGTGTCTGCTTCAGAAATTTCATGGTGAGTGCAAGACAGCTGTGAGATCCAAGCACAGACAGCTTGGATCTCAACCTTGTTACTAAAGGAAGAGCTTGCAAGCCAAAGAGCAGCTTTCCTTTATTGGAAGTGAAACTAGGTTCAGGGAAAGTCTTTGGAATAATAGGAAAGTTCCTAGAGCTTATTACTCAGTTCAATATGGACCCCACAATGGAGTTGCTGTGCAGAAAGAACACACAGTGAGATGTATCTACTTACATGCTGTCTGCAAAAGGACAGAAGCATGTTTTTAAGGATAATTCCTGTGTTCCCTGCTTCCACCTCAAGAAGAACAATGTGTTATCAAGGCTGAACTATCCATACCCAGAGTAAGCTTAACAAGTTGTATGGAACATAACCTTCATCCAGGCATGCAAATGCATTAGAAATAGCTCCGTCAGAAATCTTAAGGGGGTAAGAAACTATGTAGACATTGTTGTTTCCATCTAATCTGCAGCTGGAAATGGTAGCCTTTAGAGTTATTTGGGGAACTTTTTGCTGGCGCTTCCATTGTTGCTTTTTTATACCACTGCCAGAATGTTTTCTGCAGCAGCTTGAGAGAACAGAGTTATCATTTCCTTTTTGATTGTTGGGACTGAGCCAAAAATAGGCATCCTCTGGTCTCTGCTGCTGCCACCCATGTTGAGACTGAACTTCAATTATTCTGTGCACCGTGAAAGGCACTCTTCAACTCGAAGGACAGAGCCGTGGCAGGACAGTCTTGCTACCCCATGCTTTGGGAAATGTCCCCATAGGTGTGGATATAGTGGGAGTAGAGAAAGGAGGAATCAGGATATCCCCTACTTCACGTTGAGCTTTCTCTTAAATAAAATAACATCAGTTTAAACACATGACATTTGGCATGTGACTCTAGAGAGGAGAAAGGTGTTGAGGAAATGTGAGTTCTTCTCTGCTGTTTTCTTAAGGAAGATTCATTAAGCGTCAGCAGCAGCCTTCAGATTCATCAGTCCAGTTAGTGCTTCGCTCTCTGATTTTTTACTAAATGCAAGAAACAGTAACATCATAATTATTGCTGAAAATGTATCTTAACGGGTATTTGCTTGTATCTATTCTTTGTATATGACTGACATACTGTCAGAAACCAGTAAAAGCTCAGTAGGAGATCTGTAAATGCAAGATTTCCTGCTGTTCGCTTGGTGTTCTTGTACTTAACAGCAGGAGCAGTTCTCCTAAGTGCGTTGTTCTTACTGTCTGTGAAATGCTGTTAGCTTAATTGCTTAACTCTGCTGTTGAGAGTAACAAGGGGACAGAAAAGGGACTGAAAATTGTCAGGCACTGTAGAACCCTCCTCAGTGCGACTAAAATTCAGGATAATTGTTGTTATTTTTGAATCAGTTATTTCCTCCGTTAAGCAGACCGCTTGAGAGACCTCTAATGCCGTTGTTTTTGTAATGAAGCAATGAAGGCTGTGGAAACTTCAGTCACTAAACAACTATTTTTAAGTGGAAGGATAGGTCCAGAGGAGATCCTTTCTGATCTTTGTATGTATAGCATAATACACAGCAGGAAATCTAGTACTTCTGACTACTCGTTTCAATATATGAGTTCTTGATGGGTTTTGTCTCTTGCTTGGGTTCAGTAATGCAGTCCCTTATTTTCTACTTTTGGTCTTCTAAAGTCTGTTGAAATTGTCAGTATTCTATGAATCTACAAAAATTCTCTGATCAAAATTCTATACTGAATGTTTGGACATGTTACCTTGATTTTAGCAATGTGGCTGATCAGAACATGGTGGGTTTGTGTCTCAAGGCAATGGTCTGAGTCTGAAGAAAGGGCTTTTGAATCTAAGATATGATTGTGCAAGAGGGGGAATAGGATAAACCCCTCATTCTTACTTTGCTGAGTGTTTGTTTCTTTCAGTTCAGAATCTGGGCCGTCCCTACTGGCTGACTCTAGCTCCTATGTACATCTGGATCATCATTTTCTTCAGTCAGCCTCACAAAGAAGAGAGGTTTCTCTTTCCCATCTATCCCCTCATCTGTCTCTGTGGTGCTGTGGCTCTGTCTGCTCTTCAGGTAAGTTTTAGTGGAACATATTTTTTTAATGAGCTCATACCTTGAGGAAGCGTAACTGCTAGCTGACTTCTTTAACATTGCTTCCTAAAGTTTGGGAACATCTGCAGAATATATGGGTCTGTGACACAATCTACAGTGATTACACAGTTCAGAACTGTCCGATGCATAACTTCTCATCATTGTTTTTAATCTGTTAGCTGGTACAGTTTTCAGTTTTGAACCATGTGTCATGGATAGGTGTTGACACTCTGGAAACAAAATGTTCTAATACTGAAGAGTGTGTGTGTGTATGCGTGTTGCTGATTTTACAAGTTAAACCATAATCTTCCTCTAAGTATGCAGAAGACTATTTGCCCTCTGTAAGGTATGATTTAAAAGCAAAAATATTTGGGATTTCCCTCCTGAGTGTCGTACAGAATGAGATCATCTAATAATCTTGGACTTCAGTGCAGACTGCTTAACAGCTCAGATAAAAAAGATCACGTTTCATGGCTTTATAAGGTGATCACATAGGAGCTTGTCCGGGATTGTGTGAAGTGATAAATGGTTGAGAATATTTCCTTGCCACTAATTGTTTCATGATGACTTTGAGTTATTCTTCCATCCCAAGTGGGATTTTCTGGTGAGGAGCAGTTCTGATGTTGTAGTGCCAATACAACACAATATCCAAGAGATGTCATCAGGATTAGTAACTGGCTTATAGCATTTTGCCTCCTTTGTCTGCCGTTAAGCAAGCTTTAACGGGCAGGAATATATGTGTGTAGGAAATGCATTTTGTTGTTTCCTAGTAGGAATCCTTCACTGATTTGAAAAAGGACAAGTGATTTTTTTCAGGCATCGAGAAATTGCGTTGGATATTTCGAAGAGCCAAAAATTGCATGTTTAGTAAATATCACTTGAAACACTTCATAGACTAAAGCACTAATATAGATTGATATAAACTTTCCAAAGCTCAAAATTATTCATCTTTCCTGTGTTAAAGAGGTGTAGGAATGCAGTCGCTAGTCCTCGTTAGAGCCTATTCCAGCTGTTTGTCCTCGTTCTCCTCTGTCTTGCTATGCACCACTGCTGGCTGTTCCTGTCCTGGGCTCCCCACCAGTATTGCCTGCACGCCCCAAATCACTCTCACTCT